CCTGCTCCTTGGGAGCCTGCTTCTCCCTCTGCCTCTCTCTCTCTCTTTTTCATGAATAAATAAATAAAATCTTTAAAAAAAAAAGATTTTTTTTTTACCACATTTTTATCTGGTAAGTCTAAGATCTACTATAAAATAAAGATGAGAAGATAATCATTTTCTGAACAATAAATATAAATTCATAAATTCTTCCTGTCAGAATGATAGAAGGTTAGGCGTGGAAACCTAGCACTCAACTTATATGATTTAGTTGATATCTAACTGACTAAAATATGGAGGTAGCCATAGCTTCATAATATCCATTTCCTTATTACATGTTAAAGGTAATAGATTTTTCAAAAACAATTCAAAATGTAGTGATAATTATGCCTCATATTTAGTTTTAAAAAACCAATGTTTCCTTTATTTTTAGCCCATCAATGATTGCAAGTGGATTAATAACACTCATTGAAGATGATGCTTTGAATGGCGCTATTATGAAGATCACAACTTCTAAGGGAATTCATTTTCAAGACTACGAAACAACTCCATTTCATGCAAAAGCTCAGTGAACATCTTATATATCAGCCATAACTGAAAATAAGAACAAATGACTTCTATTAGACCATATCTTCATTTGAATATAGCTTTTTAAACCAAATGTAATTGTGTTATTGTCTGAAGCTTTCCTCCGTGCATTTGATATTAACTTTATCTCTAAATGATTAATTAGGTATTTGGATAAAAACAATCAGGAACTACCAAAAACAGGGATGTGAACCAAAGCTAACTTTTGATCTTTATAGTCTATGTAATGATTAAAACAAAGGATATTCAAGGAATATTCTGCCTTTCAGAAAAATGTATTTAAATTTGTGGTACATAAATATTAATGTTTTTCAGAATATCATTTTAAAGGAAATACTTGAATTGTTATTTAAATCAAATCAGATGTAAAAATTTCATTTTGTTTTTATGTTCTCACTTGAAAAAAGAGAAGCTACCTACAATGGCAAATTTTTAGTAACAATAACTTTTACTTATACGCCATCTTTCAGCTGAGCATTTCAGCTCTTTAAAGATGTGGCATATTTTGGGGCCAGTAGTTAAAAGAATAAACTACAGTGTGAATATATCCCAAATGAAAAACCTGATGTATGGGAAAATGACAGAAAGTAATTGACTGAGATATTGATCCACAGTTCAGCTTCCCATCTAGGAAGACCATTTCTTTCTTGTTTGCTTACTTTAAGAAATTTAATTTTCTCCAGAAATCTCAGGAATGAAACATTTAACAGTTATAGCAAAAATGATAGTGCTTCTTAAAATATTATATTTAAGATCACCTCATTAAGGAAAAAAATACAAATATAACATTTTTCAGGTTACTTCATTTGTACCAATTTCCATAGTGCCTGATTTTTAATAAAACTCTTTTCTTTTTCTAATCTCCAGAATTTATTTAGTGTTTTATGTATAGCTATTGAGGACAGAAACTAGTTTTGTTACAGCCTCAATTGTAAATGTTTCTGTGTGCTCAAAGTCGTAATAACAAGAGGTAAAGTTAGCCTGTGATGTTTTGCTATTTTCCCTGTCAAGTGTTTTAAGATAGGATCAGTAAATGCAACTGCTTTGGGTAACATTATTTGCAAGCAATAATTAATGCCACTGATAGTGAAAGCACAAGATTTCCAAATCAATCATTTTTTCATAGAATATTGTATAAGTGATTCACTCTGCCCGCTAAGTCCAAAGCTCCCAGCTTGGAGCAAATGCCGTCCATGTGAGAGATTGATGAGGATTTTTCTAGAGACACCGGAGTGTTATCATATCTTGCTCTGTTTTAATTCTGCCATAGAGAACTATTGCCTTCACTTTTAAGGTGTAATTTTAATATGAATAATTCTTGTCCAGAGTTTCATATAACATATTTGAAAAACAAGAAGTGAGCATCTGAATGTCTGATAGAGAAGAGTTGCAATCGTGCATCAACTTGTTCACACATTGTGGCAGTAACTAGTCGGGGAATAATACAGGCATGTGGAAATGTCACTTATCTTACATATTTTCCTACTGTAATGTTCAATGCTGTAGCTAAAACTTCTCATTTATGGATCATTTTTTGTAAACTGGCAGCCTTCAGTATACTTTGTGATTTGAGTGGAATTTGTTTCAAATCAGTGAACTCTGAAGACATTTAAAATCAAATACTGAGTAGAACTGAAAAAAAGTGACCTACGTTGTAAAAGTTTATCTTACATTAAAATGTATCTGCTATATATATAGGGGTGCCTGGGTGGCCCAGTTGGTTAAGCGACTGCCTTCGGCTCAGGTCATGATCCTGGAGTCCTGGGATTGAGTCCCGCATCGGGCTCCCTGCTCAGTGGGGGGTCTGCTTCTTCCTCTGACCCTCCCCCCTCTCATGTGCTCGCTCTCTCTCATTCTCTCTCTCAAATAAATAAAATCTTAAAAAAAAATATAAAAGGTATCTGCTATAAAAAGCTTTAAATAAATCTATAATGTTATACGATATCTCTGTATACTGGTTGGGAAAAAGTAAACATTAAATTTGGGGGAGGGGAAGCTTTAATTTCTTTAATTGTATTTTTTCAGTGAAAATCCTAATGTAAATAATATGTATTTTTTTTCAAATGTTCTTTTCTTAATAATTGGGAGGGGGCTCCCAAAACAGCCAAACTAAAAGTATGTAGATGCTGAAATAAGATTAAGACTTGATAATGGCATTGAAATGTCCAACAAACTTAAATTTTGTATCCAAATAATTTTAGATACTTGTGCCATTTAAAATATAAGTGATTATGTGATGATTTCTATTTTTGTTCTATCTGTTCATAAGTTTAGGATACTGAATAGGTCTGAATAATGTAAATTTTTAATAAAATTCAAGTCATTGCACATACTATCATTTGAAGTGGAGCTTCTTTCTTTCATTGGAATTTCTAAAGGCGAAATTACTCGTGCACGGGAAAAGGTGACTGGCTTTAGGGTCACACATTCTGGCGTCAGTCTTCGATCTCTTTCCTTTTGTTAGCTTCCCTCCTAGGCAGCTCTGTCCATACGATGGCTTTGGGATCGACAAGCTGATTTTCACCAGCTTCCAGTCTGGCAAAAGAACTTGTTTCTTTCTTTCTTTTCTTTTCTTTTAAAGATATTTATTTATTTATTTATTTATTTATTTATTTATTTGACAGAGAGAGAGAGAGAGCACAAGTGGGGGGGGTGAGATGCAGAGGGAGAGAGAGAAATAGAGTCCCAGCTGAACAGGGAGCCCGACGTGGGGCTTGATCCCAGGACCCTGAGATCAAGAACTGAGCCGAAGGCAGACGCTTAAACGACTGAGCCACCCAGGCACCCGAAAAAAACTTGTTTCTGACAGCAGAGCTCACTGGCCTTGCTTAGGTTAGGTACTGAGTACGGAGATGGCCCTTGTGTTCAAAGATCATTCTGCTTGACCAGAACCAGATGACATGCCTCCCCCAGAGGTAGTGAAAAAAGTGGTGGGGGACAGGAGAGGTGGGCGGGAAGTTGACCTGAACCCTCTGGACTAAGACAAGGAGAGGAATAATTCCAAGAGAAAAATTACACTGCCATTACCAGCACATGGGTGAACATACTGAGCTAACAAAAGCAATAGATAGCCACTATAGAGGAAGACAGAGTGAGCGAGGACTAGTAATATCTTAATCTCTTGGATAAATTTGTGAAGACTATTATGGTTCTTCTAACATACCTAGAACCATGTTTCAAAACTCTGTGTGTCACATGGGATAAAATGTGATGAAAGAGAAGGGAAGAAAGTGAGTAGAAAATACAGCAGTTATCGCATGCATATATAATTGTACTCATTCTCAATCTAAGATCTTTACTATTGTGAATCACAATAAGGTTCAAAAAGGTTCAAAAGCTACTTATTTTAATAAATTGACTACAATCGTTGCCTCTAGACTTTATTTTTGAATTTCTGACTATACTACCATTTTAATTCTATGGTTCCATTCAAATGGTTTAGCACCACTTCTAATTCTTACTAGAATTTCATCATCCACATATAGTTACACTAAATTTTAACGGATTATTTTAGAGACACACAAATATAGCACAAGCAGGGGGAGGGGCAGAGAGAGAGGGAGAAACAGACTCCCTGCTGAGTACGAAGCCTGAATCAGGGCTGGATCCCAGGCCCCTGAGAACAGGATTGGAGCCAAAGTCAGATGCTCAACCAACTGAGCCACCCAGGTGCCCCTTTAACAGAAATTTTTACGTTTAATTTTAAACCATTAAAATATCTTTTTTCACCCAGTTTTCAAGTAACACTTCCACACATAAATCCTCTCATTCAACAAATATTTCCCGAACCATTATTTTGTTGGTACATTTATATGAACATGTTTCAATAAATTGTATTCTATGTAGATATTAGTGCAGACATGCATTGATTAAGGTCTGGTCTGGCAAAGAACATTCAAGTCTGAAGGAATCTAATATGGGGACAGAGTTTCAAAGGTACTGGAAGAACTGAAGAGCCAAAGAAAAAGGATGGGTTGATAAAGCAACCAGCAGGAAGGCACTACCACCTGCAAAGTGGTGGGACTCAGGATATTACCAGAACCCAGAAGCCACTGGGAAGGCTGCCAAGCAAAGCTAAGCCTACAAGGCAGGAGTTGTCTGGTGGGAGCTGGAACCCTGGAGAAGGCAGCCGTAGCCAGACATGCCACCTTAAGAGAGGGGAGAGGGAGGAAGTGATGTTGAAATCTCCTATTGGCCTGCGCTTCAGTATTCTGTTCTCGAGTCAGGAAAATGGAGTTTGCAGGATCTGCCCCCTGTGATATAGGGCTGAGGAGGATAGTGGGAGGGAATGGATTTGAGAATAACCAGACAAGTGACAGACACAACATACATTTGATATTTACCCTGCTGCAATCGTAGATTTGAGCTTGCTACTTAGCACCCACTAAAGCTTATTTTTAAGAGGCATGAGTAAAGATAACACTCTAAATGGGCAGTGGTCTGGGGTCTAGTTGCACAATAGCTAATGACCATGCAGGCATCTTGCAGATAAGTAACAGCCCATGCACTTTTGCATAGAGATGTACGGATTTATTACTAATTCCTATCACTCATCCTTAAGATCATGTGTCTTATTTGTTTTATGCTGTGACTTAAGCTATGTACTTAAGAAATACTGTTGCAAAAATAAAAAAAGAAATACCATCTCACCATCACAGTATAGAAGCTAAAGAAGGATTCAATGATACTAAAACATGCTGATCATCGTATTAAATCCTATCAGATGCTTGGGCTCAACTGGTTGAGTTTAAATTGTAAGAGAGTGAGGTGGTAAATTCCCAGATTTAGGTTGCCCTAAAGCAATTGCATTCTAATCAGACACCATTATCTAAAATCTAAATGTACAAATTTAAATAAATTTTTATTTATCTGCCCTTAAATTCATATTTGTTTTTGTATGTATAGATAAATTACATATACATAAAGAGATGGATGATATAGGTAAATAGATAAATAGATGATAGATAGATAATAGATAGATAGATAGATAGATAGATAGATGATGGATAGAATGGAAGTACTGGAATAGATCTGTGGCTTCCAAATGTTTTGCTCCTGTAATCATAAAAGAATTTTTAGGACTATGTATACTTTATAATCATTGAGTAAGAGTAGCAGAGGATTCAGATAAACCTTGAAATTCATGGCTTAACATAATTAAACTTTTTCCTTGGCTTGCACAGGAATCCAGTGCTGGTATTTGGTGAGCAACTTTCCAGAAGTGGTTCAGGATCTTCTGTCTTATAGCTCCACTGTCTAGGGCTTTGGGGTCATTCATTTTCAGCCAGTAGACTGGGGAAGAAAAATGGAGAAGGTATATCTGCTTCTTAAACATTTCAGCCTGCAAGTTACATAAATTATTTTTATTCATAGCCCATTGGTGAGAACTAGTCCCATGACCTTATCCAAATGCAAGCAATGCTGAGAAATGTAGAACCTGTAGACACAAGCCTCCCAAAAACAACTCTACACAATAGAAAGGGAGCATGCATTTTTGATGAGCAAATGCAT